TTGCCGATCAGCAAAGTAATCGTGGTTTGACCCGACGCCGATACTACTTTAATATAAACAGCCGCGGCGTAGGCTTTGTTTGACGCGTCCGCGAACCCGTGGATTTCCGCATGACGGGTATCCGGTCCGATGCCGGTCCAGCGCGTGATCTGCAAATCGCCGAGATGCCGAAGTCGGGAGTAAATTTCTCTCCATTTTGTCAATAGAGTGTCGGGAATCCTCTCATCCCATTCGAGCTTGATTCGCCATAGGTTTTGCATTAAGGTTTTAGCCGTGATGGTTACCGGAGTAACCCAGCCTAACGGGTCATACAATTTAGCAATGGCGGATAAGATCGCGCGCTTCGTACTCGGGATGCCATTGTCCAACGACACGCGAAACTCGAACACGTCTGTCGCCGGGTGCCACCCGATGCCGAGAATATTAAGTCGTTCATCAGGAGAGAGTGGTTTTTTACCGGCCAGGCCGTGATTCGCGATATCGATATCATCGAGGAGTGAGGGAGAATTGCTCGCCCATTTGTGAAGCTCGAAACCACCGCGGGTCAACAGAGCGATGAGCTGATCACGCGTTTTCCGAATGATAGTAGGATCGTCGGCTCCGAAAAGGACATCATCCACGTAAATGTTATCGCGAAGGATGGGAACCGCCAGCGGAAAATGCCGACCTTCATCGACGACCAGCTGTTTCAAAACACGAAGTGCTAGATACGGCGCGCAGGCCATACCGTACGTTACAGTGAGCAACTGGTAATCGGTCACGGACTCGGAAGACAACGGTTTCCAAAGAATGCGCTGATAATTTATATCTCGAGAGTCGACGCGAATCTGGCGATACATTTTCGCTATATCGGAAGAATACACGTATTTATATCGTCGCCATTGTAATATGATGGAGGTAATATCGGTTTGTAATTTCGGACCGGCATGTAAATGGTCGTTCAACGATGTGCCGTTGGAAGTAACGCTCGAAGCGTTGAATACAACGCGGAGATGCGTTGTAGAGCTATCCTCCCGGATTACCCCGTGGTGAGGAAGGTATACGAGTTGTTCGGATTGATTTTGAGGTAGCGGAGCTGGCCGCATGTGCCCCAAAAGCTCGTATTGTGATAGAAAATCATGATACTCCTTCGCGACTTCCGGCTTGTCGTGAAAGCGACGCGTTAGCGTATGCAACAACTTCTCGGCGCGAAATCTTGAGCTACCGATATTGAGAGGAGGCGTTTCCTTGAAAGGAAGACGCACGACGTACCGTCCATTGGGATCGCGCGAGTGAGTCGAGCAGAAATGCTCTTCGCACTGTTTTTCCTGAGGCGAGAGAAGAGATTGGCGCGGCAGTTCTTCGACTTCCCAGAAGCGGCGAAGTTCGACGTCAAGAGAAGGAGAGCCGACTAAGTGATGAACGGAAATGGAATTGAACGAGCAATGGGAAGATGTTGTCGCCGTAGAGCGGTCAGTTGGTGCGGATGAATGGGTGGGCCCCGATATGACCCACCCGAGAACAGAGTTTTGGGCGAGAGGGTACCCGAGCCCGCCCTTGCGAACACCATCCAGGATGATGTCGCTGTACAGATCGGCCCCGATAATGATACTAATAGGGTCGGGACTCGTCGGATCCGCGTCGGCCAATGGCAAATCCGAGAGGTACGACAGCGACGAAATGTCCGCATTGCGTTTCGGAGTATATGAAGTCAGCGATTTGAGAATAAGCGCGGTTGTAGCGAATGACGGAACGAGAGATTTCCGCGACGAGATGAAAATATTTGTTACGTGCTGGAACGTACCAGCGTTGATACCACCCACGGCGGATACGGATATCGGCATCTTAAGGCGTTTTGCGCGCAAGGTTTGCGCCAGGGTTTGTGAAATGAACGTCATTTCAGATCCCTGGTCGAGGAGCGCTCGAACGACCGCGGTGCGACCGGACGCGACGCGCACGGTGACCCAGGCTGTCGCGAGCAAGATCGGAGAGAGCTTTTTCGTCGCTGTCGAAACGAGGAGCGAATTGACTTCCGGTTTCGAATCTGCAATTTGAGGCGACGAGCAATTAAGCGCGGCCGCGTCGGAGGAGCTAGGGCAAGAGTCCGAGTCGGAATGCAGCATAGAATGATGCTTCTTGTCGCACACGCGACAAGAATATTTACTGCGGCACGCCTGGACGGCATGTTTCGCGCTCAAACAATTGAAGCATCGTTGATGCTGCTTAACAATTTCCCGACGCTGACTCGCACTCTTGCTCACAAACTTAGGGCACAAATTTAAAAAATGTTGAGATTTGCACAGCGGACATTTGTTCTGTGCATGAGCGGATGCAGTTGCGGTGTGAACTTTGGACGTGACAGCGGCTTTCGAGGATGAGGCTATCGCAAATTCTTCCAATGCGCGAGCGCGAGATGTTAGAAAGCTCTTCAGGTCGTCGTACGATGGGGGATCGTCGGTATCGCCGACTTTGACGTTCCACGCTTTCCGCGTGATCGGATCTAATTTTTGAACGATGAGGTGAACGAGAGTGTCGTTCCAAAGTTCCTCCGACTTTCGATTAAGGTTTTTGAGCGCCGCTACCGCATGATTTACTTTATCTCGCAAGGTTTGCAACTCGGAAGCCGATTCGCGCGTTATAGCCGTTAAATTAACCAATGTTGAAAGATGAACGTTTAGCGAGCGTCGCTTATTTTCATAGCGCGAGGTCAATGCGTGCCAAGCGATTTCGAAATTGTCTGCGGTAACGGAGAGGCTCGCGATACATTCCGCGGCGCGCCCTTTGAGACAGGATGACAAGAAATGCATACGCGCGAAGTTCGTGAGATCCTTGTTTTGGCGAATAAGCGCCGTGAACCGATCGCGAAATTGTTCCCACTCGTCATAATTGCCATCAAACGGAGGCAATTTAATGGGCGGAAGATGCGATAGAGAGAACGCGGACGCTTCCGACGGGAACCGCGATGCGGAGGTGCTCGGGTTCGGACTCACGATCGGCTCCATCTCCTCCAACAGCTCCGCCATGTACTCCCACGTTGTAGTGAAAACGTCCTCGGTACTCTCGAACTGGCCCTGGGTGAAGTAGTCCAATGTGGCCTGCGTGGCAGCAGGCATCACCTGCGTCAGAGTGGCGTGACCTTCTTGATATTGCGACCAAGCCTCTTTAAGCGATGCGATCCGGGTGCGAATCTTTGCGGGAGTCAGATTGTTCCTTCCAATTTTTTTGAAGTTGTCCATGGCGCGCTCGATCGAGCGTTGCAACAGCCGTTGCTTGGCCATTCGCTCGGACATGTTGAACGCCACCGAGGTTTCTCTGCGTTGACTTCGCGAACCGTTTCCTTCACACACGCTCCGATCCGGCTCGAAGGACCAAAATGTTCGGGTTCGATCTAGCTTAGATCGCCCCTGAGCGCCGAATACCGCTCAGTGATGAGCGCGAAGCGAGTGGGGTGCAACTCAGAGCGGTCGCTGAAGGAAAGGGTGGACAACAAAAAAAGGAAAACTCCCGAGATTACCCTTGAAGAAAAAAAATGTTTAATGATCCCAAATTACTGAACGGAGCGAGTGACGAGCCGAAGTTATACGCGGGGTCGGAGATCTTGCCCGTCCGATCCTGCACTGCCTTTTGCGCGGGGCGGAGATCTTGAAGAGTGTCGAGCGCGACACCCTCGCGAGTCCGGAGATCTTGAAGCACGTTCGAGGGAGATCTTGACGCGAGGCAGCGGACGGTCGCGAACTCGTCCACTCTCGGACTCCGTTTGCAGCGATACGCAAGACACAAAAAAAAGGAACGAAACGCACTAAACTTAAACGAGCACTGCGGGTTGCCCTGTGTGGCCACAGCGGACGCGACAGAGACCCGTCGGCGAAATTGCGACGGGGTAAGATCGCGAGCGGCGAACGGCAAGAATCGTTGCTGTGAAAGAGCGGACAACGACTGACTGTCTAGGGAACTATTCTCGCAGCTCACGATGGACGACGCGACAATTCACGCAGCATGGCGACCGAACTTCTGTTTTTTCACGCTGATATTCGGTGATCGCCCATGCTCCGATCAGCTGAACGCGTCAATGTTTCGGAGCGCGTGGCTTCGCGAGTCGCTCGAGCTCCGACACGCGCCCGCGACGCTCGGTTCGGCGAGCTAAGGAATGCGAGCGCGAGAAATCTCGAGCGGCGCGTGATCGCGGCGATCAGCTGGGCCCTTCCGACCTTAATTCCCGTTAATCTAAGTCCAATCCCGAACACCCCCACTCCAATCATCGCCCCACCACGTTTAAAACTATTTAGTATAATTGGCGCTATTTGATGATATCATTACTTTTGTAGAGAAGATAGTTTTGTAGTGAGGATATTTTTGTAGAGATGCAAAAAAGATAGAGTAACAAAATATATTCGGTCGTTGGAGCTTATACTTGGCGCTTTTTTTACCTTTTTTTAAAAATGTAAGTTTTTTAGGTGATATCACTCCTTTTGTAGTGTTAAATATGGTACTTAATTGCTAGTAAGCGAGAGAGAGAAAGAGAG